TTGTAAGCTCTTTATAATCGAAACAGCTGAAGAGTGCAACTGAGGAGACTCACAGGGAGAGCAATAATCACAATGTTAGACTTTCAGTGGTTGATACGGTAGATATATTGAGCAAGGTAGATCTAGGTTAGCGATACCTACCCCCGCTGGAGTGTGGCACTGGTGATGGACTGCAGTCTGTAGAATGCAGCAATCCCTCACAACCAGCATGCATGCAGCGACAGTGGAGAGAAAAGCCTCCCTTTTAACAAAAAAAGTCTTCAGCAGTACCAGGCTTGGTGTTTGCGGCCTTCTGTTGAGGTTGACTGGGGATTTCAAGAAGATAGCAGCAGAAACTAAAAAGGAACATAGAAGCACTGAGCCATATAAGCGCTTTAAGCGTTAAAGAAGGTTATGGTTAACTAGCTCCATAGGTGGTTATGTCTTAAGATATAACTTTTTTTTAATTAGTCACAATCCATCGGTCAACATTCTTCTCGATGATTTTTTTTATTTATTTTTTTTTACTTATTTTTGTGTCCTGTTTTGCCAATATAGCTCTAGGAATATATGTCCCTGAGCTGGACCATAGCCCATCAGCTTTGCTTTCAAAAGCAGACCATTATGACTGTTGCCATAAGGTTCTGCTTGGTACTTGAATATGAAACTTTATAAAAATTTATTTTGGGAGTAAAACTGAATACAGTGGACATGGAGATAGAAAGAGAGGTGAGAAAGAAAGAGGGTATAAGAACTAAGGGGAGAGAGAAAGAGAGAGACAATAGAGAAAGCATGAATAGAGAAAAGAAAACAATACTGCAAAAACAGACAACACAAAAGATAAACAACACAGAAGATAACCGGTAACTCAGGGAAGTCTGCTTCCACACCTGAATGAGATGAGAGGGTAAGAAAACAGAAGATAACAACAGCAACAACAAAAAAAACCCAACAGAAAACAGCAAAAAAAAAACAAAACAAAAAAACAGACAACCAAATTGACATGAAGAAAAACTTAAAGAGCAGCAGGTAACCCTTAGATATTTATGTGTGTGGAAAGAGAAACCTATTGTGATTACACAATATTCTGGTGATATATGTCTGTAGCTGCAGCTAAGAATTTAGTATAGATGTGTATCTGTGAGCACTGGGAATCAAACTCCAGTGGTATAAATGCATGAGCATGATCCTGTATAAAGAGTTTACAGAGCTTCTTCAGAAGGCAAATATGCTTAATAGCAGGTGTGGACGGTCCCAGACTCAGCCTACAGAGCCCAGGATAAATAAAGAGGTGATCCTGGCCCCAGATATCCAGAGGCACCCCAGATCACTGGGACACACGGTGGGCAGACATATGTATGGCTGCTCAAGCCAAAGAGGGGCAGAAGAAAGTGCCCAGAGTTCGACACCCGAGGAGCAAAACTCCAACTCCATAACTATGGCTGCCAGGCAGTCCAAACCCCTGGGCCAAGTACGGTTCACCAGCCACTAGAGCCCAAGCACCAGCCACCACCCAGTATCCCCCAACCGACTGCAGGCACAGACCGCACACAGGATCAGGGCAGGTACCAAGGATGGAGCATAACCCTGAAAAGTCCCAGACTCCCACCCAATGCCATCACCCATTTCATTGGACGGATAATTCGTCGAAGCCATAGGACGGGAACCAAAGTCCATAAAGCCCAAGGCAATGACCAACCCCAAGGGCCCAGACTCATCCCCAGGCAGTGCGGGGTGAACACAGGTATGAAAGATACCATGCCAGCACCCCTCCTGTTCAGATGTAGTGTTGTTGCCTGTTGGACCACTGTGTATTTACAACCCTCCCCGAAACCTTAACTGTCTAAATGCATTCCAACAAATTAGCATCAGAAGCAAAGCCAGAATGGCGTACTCTCCTCCAGGGCCCCAAATCTGCCCTCTCTGATGCCCTACAAATGTATATCTTGGAAATGTTATAAATGATGCTGATTCGGGTGTGAAAATTTGGGCACAGGCTACTACCAGCATGGAAGGAGACACATTGCTGATGGTCTCTTCTCTAGACTCATTTATGTGTGGTAGTGTGATAGAGCAGATGAGGGCAAGCATCAGAGATGGAGAGCAAAGAGCTGGCCATCTCCCCTACTGATACACACATACACCCCCCCCCCCCCCCCCCCCCCCACACACACACACACGCATACTCGTTCTGCCATGTGTGTTGACTCCCATTGACTGCCATTGATTTTCAGTTATTTTCAACCCTTTCCATGCCCTAAACCTAAGCCTAAACATATTCATTACCAACGCATACCTCACCCTAACCATAACCCTAACCAATTGACACCTTAGCTCTAAACCTAACCCCCCGTCACCCACCCACCCACACACACACAGAACTGACCAGTCAGCGTGACGTAATAGCACTAGGAGGTGCCACGCCTAGTTGACCCCCAGCCTGGGTAAAGTGTCCAACCCAGCCCCCAAGCCCAACCCGCCACAGCCGTATCAGGAAACAACCAGAACCAAACCCACACCTACGCCAAGGCGGATGGTTTGTCACACCTCACCCAAGAACACTAGCCAGTCTGATTCCCTGCAGCCACACACCCACCGCACACACATTCCTCATACAGATGAACTGTAACAGACAATCTAAGCAAAGGGACTGAGGAGTTTGCCCGACAGGTTGCCCCCCACATCCAGGCCAGTGGGGGAGCGGGTGAAGCCAAGAGAGGCAAAAGACAGCTCAAACAATATAGAAGAATAATTTAGTCCTTAAAACTAGGTCAATATTTGAACAACTTATGCAAAAGCTCTGCTTGAACAAAAAACAAACTACCTTTAGCCACACATTTGACCATACAATGTTTCTCTATTTTTCCTCTACACTTCAATGGCTCCTTAAATTTAATTTGCTCCTTTACTTCCCACCTCACTATCTGAGGGGGTCTAAGCGAAACTTAGGCCATTTCTCATTATGCATATGTGTGCATTCTCATGTGCGCTTGTGCTCGTGAAACATTATCATCCTCAGCCCCAGCACTGTTGCAACTAACAAAAACATAAGACAGAGAATGGACAAAGTCACCCGATGTTGTTCTCGCCCCTCCCTCTTTACCGAGCATGCATCAGAGCAGACCTGTGCGTTCTTCAGACTGATAGCTCTCCCAGCAATATGGCCCATTTACTGATTTAGTGCATTATTTTAAAAAGTTTCAGATGCTGAGAGGACTGTGGCGACTCAGGGTTTCATAATTATCTATAGACTGTTAATAACAGGAAGTCAAATACAGTTCCAGACAAGCTGTGCTTGTGGAAATATTACAAGTATGTTTCAAGGGGACAGAGACAGGTTTGTTCTATTTGCTCCCGTTCTTCCTGAGTCCAGGCTAGGTACACCCTGGACAGGTTGCCAGTATATCACAGGGCAACACAGAGACAAACAGGACAAACATGATACGAAAATTCACGAACACATTCACACCTGGGGACAGACATTGAGAATTAGCCTTAGCTAAAATGTTGTAGTGTGTGACATGATGCATGAAACATACTTGTCCCTATCAAATAAACGAATAAAAAATAAATAAATAAATAAATAAACACCTAAAGAGAATTTCACAGAAGTCAATTAACAGTCATGTTTTTTTGGACTGTTGGAGGAAGCCGGTGTACCTGGAAAAAACCCATGCATGCACATGGAGAACATATAAACTCCATGCTGAGAATGAACCCGGAAGCTGCTACCCACTGCTCCACTGGGCAGCCCTGAATAAATGTCTAATTTAACAATCAAATAAGATAAGTAGATCATTATATAAATGTTTATTTCAAAATATTGGAATGTCCATTTATGGATAAAATGTAATTATATGTTATAACTTTTATAAATGATATTTATAATTAATTTAAAAGTATCTCCTTAAATATCCAGTACCACAAGCTTCTCCTTGACAAAAGTCCTAAAATATTTTACGTCCTTTAAGACACCATGGCATGTGAACACAACCACTTCACAGCACAGCAGAGGTTGAGATGTTGAAATTAGTTGGCCTACCACAAAATAAAACAAACATTCTATTTAATATCAGTAAGTGTTTTTCAGATTCCTGGAGTGAATCTGAAATTCTCCTAGAGACAAATAAAATGATAATCCTAATACAATATGTGTAAATGCATCATCACACCTTGTACAACTAAGCACAGGAGTACAATTGTGCTTTAAACATTCCCTTATGGCGGCACTATCTGAGGCACACTGGCATCTGTTTCAGGAAAATCGACTGATCTCTACCTCCATCTGCTGGATATTTGATGCAAGTGCGACATGTTTTGGACACGGTCAGAGTACAGATGCTAGAATAATTATAGCCAGCTGGAAATATTTAGGACACAATGTCGTGACGTCAATATGCAAACAGCTAATGAATGACTGCGATGGGTTCACCATAAAATCTCTGTCCAAAGCTGTAAACATCTCATAACAAGATGCATGGTGTTATTTATGTAGCAAAGAGAAAAATATATATATATTTGAAGTGTCTTGGCACTTTGCCTTTCCGCCACTAGATGGGAGAGTGGGACAGAAAAGCAGGGGAGAATGGCGCCTTTTCCATATATTAAGGGGATTTAGTTTAATCCCTATTTTTTGATGCATGGCATCAAGCACACAACCTTGGTCTCTTGTGTTTAAAGGTACACGGCAGCCATCAGCAGTCCCCGTTTGGAGATGAGGAACCATATGTCAATCAGCGTGCGCTGCCAGGGTCCCCTTTATCTCCGCTCGGCAGGGAGGCGTATCCTTTACCCCTCTGCGCTCCCCTTCACCACTCTGCTTCACTCCCTCCCTATTTCTCTCTCTCTCTCTCCCCTTTTCGGCTGAAACTAAACCTCAACCTGCTCCAGACGACGCCCTATAGCCCATGAGATTCCCGAGTTCTCCGCACGCCCGTTTCGCACGAGCCGAAGCCGTCGGGTTCTCATTATAACGTGAGGCTGCGCGCGAGAGCTGGCAGCCGCGTCACCTCCACCATATCAGAAAAAAAATAAAGGAGGAGGAGAGAGGAGGGGGTGTTTGGGGGCTTTCTGAATCTAGAAATTAATAAATATTAAAACACCTAGTTTGGAAGACTTCTGTGGGAAGAAAGGGGACCTGCATCTGAGTAAGTCCTGATTTTTCTCTTTTTTCTGTAGGTGACCTGTTTTCTGTGTTCTTTGCGGCAGCATCTGTGGCTTATTGGGACAGGATGGGATGACATAGCGCAGGAAGGTCGATGGAAGGAAAATACAAAACATATTGGCGCTCTGTGCGTGTGGCCTTCTTGCGCCATGTAAACATCTTGAGCATATTTGATGTTAAAACCAACACTTACTGCGCCCTTTAGTGGGAAATGACCGTAGAATAAGAAGCAGGTTGAAATAGTGTTTGGGTGTAATATTATGCCGTGTTTTGGCTGCATGTCTTAGGGTGCATGCAAGACACGACAGGTGTAACGGGAAGGCATGTTTACGCGAACGCCTTTGATGATCCATCATGTTGTATCGATCGGCTTTTGCGAGGAAATAGGAGTGTTTGTGGGTGTCTCGGCAGGTTAATGTCTCCTAGGCGCCAGTATGGCCATCACTGCGCGGATGAGAGATGCTTCCTGTGGATGAGAGGAGAGGAGGCAGAGGGAGAAGCGGGGTATCTCTGTGCGTGTGTTGTGATGAGAGAGGTCTGCTCCAACATGGCGCGCTCCCACAAGAGCTGATAAAACATTGGTCATTACATACTCCTATCCGGAATTTCCACTCTGCTGCAGAACAGGGAGTTATGATCCCGAGCATCTTCAGCTCAGGCGCTCCCCTACATCCTCTGTGAACTGCACGTAAACTCATGCCTGTGTGTGTTTCCCTGTCAGAGAATAACACAATGTCACTCCCATTCATTTTACTCTCTTCCTTGTTAACTTTGTTTGATCCCAGCAGGTAAAAGCTAGACCAGACAAAGCAGACTTTTTTGATCCTTTGCTCCTTGCCAATTGTTTCTCCTTTGGAGTTCTTTGTGGACTAATCCTTTGTTGATGAGTATTATTGAATTTTGTTTGTACACACAACACACCCAGAACAGTTCTTGTTCTGAACATACTCTAAGCTACATTTTGTTAAACAAAATAAAAAAGCTTCCTGTTTGTGTCCCATTAAGATCTCAATTTCACAAGGCCAAGTAAGCCAAGTCTTACTCTAAAGCCAGCATTACTTATCCCCCCCAAAAATATTAAAAACAATCCACTGGACTTGGTTCCAAGTTTGAAGATGTTTCGCTTCCCATCCAGAAAACTCTTTCAAATTAAAATGTCAGGAATAGCGTTGAGTTTGAGGTTTTATACAGGAGCCCCACAAAGTCTGTTTTTTTGCTTTGAAAACAGGCAAATTGGAACAGACGAAGGGGTCCACCCATTTGGAATGGGGGTCTTTGGCTTCTTTTGCAGACTGCAATACCCCATACCCATCTAAGTACCGTATCTGAAAGGTCTGTTGTTAAAGGGGATGGTTGAACTGGCTGAATAGACAAGGTCCTCGGCTCTCCTTTACAGGGGTTGGGGCTGCAATGATAACGGGATGGGATTAACTCAATAGCTGCTTTGTAAGTTTTTGAAAGCTGGAACCTGAGTCCACCCCCTCTGTTTAAGGTCGGTTTGTCGGTTTATTACTTATTGCATTACTTATTGTTGAGATACCAAGAAAGTATTTCATTTGGATTTTATGTGAAAGACTAACACAGTGTCATGCATGATTTTAAAGTAGAAGTAGCATTATACAGGGTTTTGAAAAGGTTATACAAAATATAAATGAAAGGCTTTGTGGAGGAATTAGTTGTGTGATCTTTCTAGCAAAACAGCCAAAGCTCAGTCAGATTAAATGAAGCCCATCTGTGGACATCTGTTTTTAAAGCTTGTTGCTGATTCTCAATTGGATTTACATCCAAACATTAACATGTAAATATGCTTTCATTTAAATCCTTCCATTGTGCCTGTTTTTGTATGTTTAAGTTAATTGTTAAGCTGGTGAGTAAACTACAGGTCACAGCAGCCCTGATTGGTTTTTTTTTTCCAGAACATTGTACATTTTGCTCCATCCATCTTTTCAACTTACCCATCAGTGCTGAAGATGAGTCGTACCACGGTATGATGTTGGCACCACCATGTTTAAGCATGGGATGGTTTGTTGAGATTAGTCTTCAGTTTTGCATGGAGGCCAATAAGTTAAGTGACGCTCTTATCTGGAAAAAAACACCTTCTTCCATGTGTCTTTGCAAAGTAATGACTACTGCCAGCTTTCAATTAGTAACCTCCTCCCTGTTGCCAGTCTTAAATGTAGGATTTCTGAGTTTTCATGGCCCTCTTGGTGACGCCATTTGGACTACTATTCTGCTGGATTTCTTGTAGAGGAATTAAGGTAAAACAGGCCAATTTCATATGCATCCCATGCATAATATTAACCTAAACCTTTCTAAACCTTTCCAACATTTGTGCAATGGAAAGTGACTACTGTGCTGCTGTAGTCAAATCTTATCATGTAGATACCAGGCCTGTTTCTGCTCCTGTTATTTTTTTCTTCTGTTTTTAAAGCATGAACCAGACACGTTAGGTCCCCCAAAATGCCATGGCCAGTCTGAGCTTGGCGAGGAGGGGTGTCTCTATCCGGTGGTCTGCTCTGTGTTTTGTCAGCAACTCACAGTGGAGCTGACAGCACTTGTCTTGTTCACCCAATCATCATCTGGCGTCACGACTGTGGGCAGCCGCATTTCTGTCTCCGTGTGGCTCCATGTGCACCTTTGTGTGTGAGTTTTAGCCGTTAGGCAGTAAGATTGAACAAATAAGTCAAACTCGTATGGATTGTGTGGGTTTTTGTTTTAGTTGTGTGCTGATGGTTGCTGCCTGACCTGGCTGGCATGGTAATTGGATGGATCTGTTCCCATCAATTTAGATTTGGGAAATAGGCTGGTAATCGGAAGGTCACTTGCTGATTTGTATGGGCTGTCAGGGGAAAAAATGTGTATTGTGAACAGTGTTGGGCACATTACTTTGAAAAAGTAATTAGTTATAGTTACTAGTTACTTCTCCAAAAAAGTAACTGAGTTACTAACTGAGTTACTCCACAATAAAAGTAACTAATTACAAGTAAAAGTAACTATTGAGTTACTTTTGCGTTTCTCGCCCCCGTAACCCTCACCACCCAGCCTCCACCTTCTCGCCGTGTGTTTCCAAAGCCAGCTGAATAGAGAGGTAGACAAAGACAAGAATCTACAGAGAGTTTAGCATTTATTGCAACTCAACGTAAATGACATCAGGGGGGAACGCGATGTGAAGTTTTATAACAGGACATTCAGATCCGGTGAGTATATGAAATTAATAACTGGGGATGTCTAATTCTGAAATCCTGTGTGTTTGGGTTGTTATAGATACTGCAACATCTATCTATCTATCTATCTATCTATCTATCTATCTATCTATCTATCTATCTATCTATCTATCTATCTATCTATCTATCTATCTATCTATCTATCTATCTATCTATCTATCTATCTATCTAGATGTATACTCTGTGTGTGACATAAAATATGGATCTCCATCCCTGCCACAAAGGCCATCAAATAATGTTTAAAATAAAAAATACAGTAGGTTGAAAAGGCAGAGTATCCATCCATCCATCCATCCATCCATCCATCCATCCATCCATCCATCCATCCATCCATCCATCCATCCAGATTTCTCCCTTTCTCCATATAGGCTATCATTTCTGGCTGTTGTCAGGTTCATTTGATCGTTCACGCTCTCCATAGTTCTCCTGTGGCGCGAGCACAGGGCGACTGTTGCGCGCCTTTAGCGAGCATGCGCGTTTCCTGTCGCTTGCGCGGTGACTCTTGCTGCCTGCGCTGTGCGGAGATGCAGAGGAAACCGTATGTGATGGGGAAATGCAGCTCAACGCAACACCGGTATTTCCATGTGGAAAACGCTGTTTTGCTGCTGGATTCCTCCTCACTCTCCATCTCTCTGTGTGCTGTACGTTAACACCCACCAGCAGAAACACCCACCCATTCAACTGACAGACGGAATCTCATCCTCCCCTCTCTCATGACAAGGCGCGCACCTCTTGATGACCTAAAAAATAATCTTTAATATCTCTTAAACAAAAGTAGCACAAACAATATTTTTTTCTGCACAAATCTGCACTAACGTTGCACTAACCATTCAGTCTATTTGCAGAGTTTTTTGACGTGGGTGGGGTGTCAGCTTCACGCAGCTGCGCACGAGTCCTATCATGAAAAAAGGTTCATTGTGCGACCTGAGTAACGCGCAGTAACGGGGTGTCTGCAATGGTAACTGCGTTATAGTTACAGTCAAAGTAATTAGTTAGATTACTCGTTACTAAAACAAGGTAACGGCGTTAGTAACGCCGTTAGTTTCAACGCCGTTAGTCCCATCACTGATTGTGAATGAGTTCTTCAAACTTAGTACAGCTAATGGTGCTCTCTGAAAGCCTTAATGAATCTCCTGAAATAGCCTTTTGTAGTTATATGGATTATATTATCAGCCCCCAAGCTGCTTAACTTTAGTTATATAAATGTCTTTGTGACGTCTTCTGTGTGATAGAAATCATTTGTACTGACAAAGCAACTCTACTTTGAGTTACATTTTCTGTCTAGCTTATATCCTGTATTCCTTTCCTGCTTTGTTTATTTAGAATATGATTGTTTCAGCTAACAATGCGTGAAGCAAGGATTTACCTTTGCACATCCCCAGACTCCAAGGATGAATTAAGGTGACCACTTGGGAACACTCCAAGAACCACTTTGGCTTCCCTCTTTAGACCCAGAGAATGAGAGCGTACTGTATACCTCCTTTAATTTGGAATAATGTATGTAAGAGAATGACTTTGAATGGGGAATGGTTTTAGTATCCAGATGAGCTGATTTTTTTTTACTGGAGAAACTGTTAATCTGCTGGGAATTTTAGGCAAAGTGGGTCATTATCTGTTTAAAGAGAAGGGTCTGAAAAGATGAACTATCCATTGCTCTAAATGCCTTGTTGGGGCCGGAGGTCAATTGGTAGGATGGTTTGAGATGATAGAACAGGAACAAGATGGTAACCGAACAGCTTCACATGGCAAACCTGATTGG